GGGGGTTGGGCAGGGCTACAGCCACCCGGCAACCATGACATGACTAAAGAAAACCAGGGGGAGAACAAACAATGCAGATATAATACTGTGTTACTTACAAACTGGACTGAAGTTCAATCGTTAAAAAAACAAAAAAGGAAAAAAAAGAAACTAATTCAATAAATATTTATGGTACACACTTATGGCACAAATATGCAGCAGTCGGTTTGGCAACTTTTTCTCTCATTTTTTTAAAACCAAATTACCATGGAAACAGTGCAAAAGGGGAGGGAGTGGGGAGGACACAGGCTTTCCATGGAGCGCTAGCTAAAATACATAGCAAAAAATTCAAATTTTATACAAAACATCTTACTTTAAGAGTTTATAAAAATGTTTTTATTGGGTTCTGGTCAATATTTACATAAGCTATTTACCAAAAAAGTAGTATGCTCTGTTTTACTGAAGTGAATTCAATTTTTTCTATCGTTTTTTTTTCATTTACTTTCCTAAAAAGGTGAATAAGGCTATTGTAACAACCCAGGATCCATATACAATACAAACATTAATGTATTTACAGTTTCTTACCTACAGAAGTACGGTGCAAAATTACTGAGTCAAGTGACCAAGGGCTGACCATACGAGCAAGGCATTTTACAGAAGCCTGAGGTGCTTCTCCTAGCCTTTGTGCTAAGACTCTCACAGCATCGCTCCACGTTTCAGAACCGTCAGAACCAAACCTGCTCAACGCTGGGAGAGCGCTAGTCGAGGGGCAGCTAAGAAAAGGACATCAGATTCAAATAAACTAATAAGATTGTCATATTCTGCCGCAGACAGATAGCAACTAAACAGCCATTTCTTTGTGTGTGTCTTTTTCATCTTTTTCTTAAATACCTGTTCGGGTGTGATATATATGCTTTTTTAATGGTTTCACAGTTTACCTTTGTACTACGGCACATCGTTAAAACAGAAAAGGTTCAAATAATAGGACAAAAAAATGCAGGAAATAAAAACTAACAGCAGGCTTGTGTGACGTACTTTGCTAGTTTTGTGTCATTTGTTTGTTGTTAAGAACACTTTCCATAGGTGGGTTTTTTTCTTCTTCTCAGAATCGATTAAAAAAATAAATAAGAATTGCATATTTGCAGATTTTGTGGCCTCTTAGAGGCACAAACCTCAGATCATACAAGGCTTGGCTTTTCGGTGAAATTTGATGTTCTTCATGAACAAATGGCGATGTGGATGATGGGCTGATGCATGCTCTGTGAAACTGCTTAAGTCACGATTATGATCCAAAGCCAAAGATAGTAATGAATGTGATGCACTGAAATATGGACTTGCTCAACACGCGCACACACACATACACACATGCACATGGAGGTGTGTTTGAGGGGATTGGGTGTTCATGAGAATTATCCTTTGGGAGATGCTACACTGAGTGAGTGTGGCAGACACAGCTACTCTGCCCTTGTGTACACCAATGTGAGCTATTTTGGGTGAGTTAGCCCTGCCCCCCCCTACCCTTGTCCTGTTTCCCAGGACCGAGAGCTCATGAAATACGGGACTCAGCGGGTCGAGAGATATAAAATAATCAAAAACCTAGATTGCATAATGTGCACTTATACCATAATATATTAACATGACTTCTTCCTCCTGTCCCTACCGCCTGACAACACCTGTGCTCTATGTGTCTATCGTAAATAAATTCTGCTTTTTATTTGACTTTTTTATGGTTTTATTTCATCTTTCGTAATGTTCTTTTTTTTAATGTACATCTATATTGTAAAAGAAAAATAAGAAAATCAAAAAGATCACAATATGGAAATGCTAATGGAGATTGAGAAACAGTGACGATGTAAGAAGATGTCCCTGTGCTTTTTTAATTTTTTAACAAGAATAGGAGAGCACCTGTCACCCTTGCTCATCATTGGACCCCGGGGGTAAACAGTACAGTACCTCGAGCTGTTTCAGCCAGCTTCGCTAACCTCAACTACATCTCAGGCCTCTTCTTCACCTCATGTGAAAAACGTCAGTAAGGCGGGTTTTGGATTTCTTATTGCCCCTAACACTTTCCCGTGTGAAAAGCCCAGGTTCTGGAGAAGATGAGGCGAGCCCTCACTAGTAAATCTGACGGGATACAGCTGCTCTCCCATCTCTAGCCATCACTGTGAATGCTGTGAAGAGTGGAGGTACCAGAAAGGGGTTAAAAGTGCTGCTCTATGTATACGAGAGGCCTCCACTCTTCCCAGAAGCCACCTGGGCAGACCTGACAGGCGCCCATTAGCAAGAGGGCGCCTGTGTAATCCTCACTTTTCCTGCTCTGGCCACTCCTGGCCAACTGTTGGGTCACTTGTGTTTGAACATTACACACGATTTGACAAAGGAAAAGAAAAACATCTCTCTATCCACATATGGAAACCAGATACGAACATAAACAAGATCAGTAAATGTTGACAGTACAATACAAAAGGGAATCTATTCCTCTTGCTTAAAACCTTCATCTAGAAGAAGTGACTTTCTGAAAAACATACGTGGGAATGAGGAGAAAATTGTGTAATCCACACTTAAACCCAAACAGTTCACTGGTGAGACAGTGTGTCTGTGTGTGTGGGTGAATGTGTGTTTATGTGATGGTGAGCATGTGTGTGGCAGGGTGATTGGGTGATCTCCATGAGTCAGTCAGGAAAGTCCCGGAGAGGAATCGGGGTGAGAATCCTCGTCCGACTGCTGAACGCAAAGAGTCTCTCCGGCTAGTGGGCATTAAGGGAGGGCGGCCATTTTTGTGAGTTCATGGTCAGCCCGAATTCTCTGGCATCTCCTCCTCGCTTGTTTTTTGTCTCTTTTTCCAAGCAGTAGTCTCTCTTAAATGTGAGGTCAAAAATTCCTGCCAGTTAACCTTCCAATCCATACATTCGTCCTTCTGTCCGAGAAAAAGCTGTGCATCCGTTTCACTTTCCGACCCCTCAACACTCAGTTCCTCTAAAATGCTGGCTGCAGTACACAAAACAAAACCGGGAGCAGCATCGATGGAAAAAAAGAGATTTGTCCTCTATTTCCCAAGAGCCCCCAGAGAGCGGAGACCGTGGCGGTAGGAGCCTTCTCTCCGGCTCCCTCCACCCGCCCCGTCAGCACCGACTGGGACCAAACCAGAGCCATAAGGTATCAGCAATAAAGAAAAAGTAGTGAAAAAACATCAGAGATGAGGAGGAGGACGAGGAGGACGAGGAGGACGAGGAGGAGGACGAGGAGGAGGAGTCGACAGAGAGAGAAAGAGTGATTGTAGGCATGCCGGCGGTGCCAACTAAAAACCCGCTTTTCTGCCCGGGATTGTTCAAGTTCTTCTCTTGCTTTAAAAGTCCCGCCTCAGACCTTGTAGTAGATGTTGGCCGGACTCTGAGGCGGCATCTCCTGCACGATGTAGACCGGGTGCCCGTAGTCGCCGCTGACCTTCTCGTAGTGCGGGCAGAAGACGCTGTCAGCAGTCCTGAGAGGGATGATGATGTCACTGGGCTCCGAGCCGTTATTGTTCCCGCCCCCTCCGCCCCGTTTGGGCGTGGCCAGGGTGCTCAGAGACAGCGTGGTGGCGTGCTGCGGCGAGTGCTTGCGGTGCCGCCGCCGGTACTTGAGCAGCAGAAGGACCAGCATGATGATGATGATGATGAGGATGACGCTGCCCGAAGCAATGGCCACGAAGATGGCAGCGTCAGAGGCGATGCCGCTCGAGGACTTTCCGCCGCTGTCGTCGCCGGCGCCTTCTCTGGGTGCTACACCTGGGAAACAGAGAGGAGGAAGGGTGAATACAGGGAGGAAATGCATGTCACTTCTATAAACAAAACAGGAATCAGGGTGAACTCAAAAGTAGTTTGTATGCTATGCCATCAGACCGGTTTTCCTGGTTTTGCACTTGGCTGACTCACAACAACAAGGGACAAAAGTCAATAATAACAGACGCAAATTCACAACAGCTGTGTCCACTCAGAAGCGTTCATGCATCCACAAACACACACACACACACACACACACACACACACACACACACACACACACACACACACACACACGATTGACAGACCTAGCTCCTGGTCGCATAAAAAAAAGAATTTGAGAGAAAATGTTTGGTAAGTTTGGAAGTAGGCATGATTTTTGCATTGCTTTGGAAAAGTTCCAAAACTGTAATTTTGTATCAGCAGGTTTCAGATGATCGAATAAACTCTTCAGTTTGAGCTTACTGACTCCTTCTAAGAAAAGGAAACTGTTTTCCACAGTCTTTCCCCAACTCTTCCTTTCATTCCTCACCATCTTTTCATCAGGCCACAGTAAAGTTGGCCGGCAGCAGCGTGGTTGAGAGTGAAGCCTTCCTATGGAGGGCTTTTGTATAAAGGTCACATTCGATCGGTGGCTATTCAAATTCAGGCGGTGAAGACTGCAACCTTGAAAGTAGGGTGAGCGCAGCCTGATAGGAGATACAATGGCTGAGATAGATACAGGCACTTAGATAAATTGCATTCTGAAAGGCATAAAAAGTAACTTCATTTTATAACTAGCAGCCTCAGAGGGACGAAAATAAGAGAGAAATATTTGAGCTCATCAGGGGACATCAATTATGGAAGCCGAGCTGGGCTCTGACTCCCTGCGATGGACATTCTGGTTCCCATCCAGCGCCTGGGGGGGCGGGTGTGTTGGACCACGTTCCCCGGGCAGGCGGGATTACTGAGGCTCCCTGTCTGGTTCCTGCTCTCCTGAGGGCCTCAAAGTGCTTCTGCTGTGGTATATGGGGGGAGTGGATACATGATGGCAGGCAGCCCAACGCAGAGACCCTTCAGTTGTTTTACAAGGGGATTACGCTGCCTCAGAAGCACTGCCCATAGCACTCTGACGCCAATGTGCTTGGGATGGAGGGATGAGACATAAAAAAAGCAAGGCAGACGACGGGAAAAGGAGAGAGCAAGGTGCTGATGTAGGCAGAGAGCGCTGCCAGCATGGATTTAACAGGCAGGGAGGGGGCAGATCTGCATGCTCCACGTCAGTCAGATTTGAGGTGATGCCACGCCCTTAGTGAGCCAGGAGAGAAGGCTGCTCATATAGGCAGGTTTACGGAGTAATGGACTATGTAATCAGCACAACAAACTGCATTCCCTTACAGTTACATACAAATTATGTAATCAGATTACTGTTCCATTTCCACAAATTGGGGATTACTAGCAGGATTACAATGTTAGTAAGTACTAAAAAGAGCAGATAGTGTTTGTTGTAAAGGATAACATGTTATCTTTTCTCTATAAGCTCTGTTCTGTAGGCTAATTCTTTAAGTGTGAATATATACGTTCATTTGTTCTGTTATTATTCAGTAGGTGAAGCTATATGTTAATGTCTTCTCTAATATATTGCCGTTGCATTTGATATAGAGGAAGTAGCCCTCCCAAACCTACATATAGGTGTTTTTGTTCTTTTTTGTTTTGCCTTTCCTGTTTTTTATTTCTAATCACAGATCGCTGAGGAAATTGCCAGTCAGATTTGCTTCTCTGGAGATTTCTTACTGCAATATAATAGGCCGAGATAAGAGCGGTCTGCACGCTGTCTGAGTTGTGGTTGGCTGTAGAGACAAGCGTGCGTCTGTACTGAGAGCAGGTGGTTTAAAAAGATGGCAGACAGCGATCAGATCATTTTCCTGAAAATGTCACTTAAGCGGCGGGTTAAGGCTGGAACGGGGCCAGCAGGGAGATACCTTATAAGTCCTTGAGAGGCCGGAGATGCCTATCAGTTTTATGGGCAACATTCAATTACTGGCTGATGAATTGCTGACCTTTCTTTCCTTCACTTTCACATGCACACCTCAGTGACTCGCGCAGACACACACACACATGCTTACTTGGCGCTATCTGCTTTTAGTTAGGCCAAACAAACGCACGCACTAAATGTCGAATAGTTTTGATAAGTCCTTCACTCAATTACCAATTTCCTGGGATTAAAGATTCATGTGTGGGATCTCACCTGGTTTTTCCAGCACTTCGTTGGGGTTGTAGGCCTCCTTGCCATCTGGGTTCTTGGGAGAGTAGGGTACTCTGGTGGGGCTGTCTTTGGGTGAAATAGGGTCAGAGGGATCTGAAATAAAAATAGATAAGAATTTAGTTTCATTTTAAGGTTGTTCTCAATCATGCAACTCCCAGGGAAACACAATAAAGGGAATTTTGTATGAACATATACAACAATATGTTCCTCCAAATGCTTCAACAGTGTACATTTATTTGACTAGATCCACTTAAAAACAAACAGTTTTTGTACATATGGCTCTTCACGACCCAGAAAGGACTGTAATCGACTATTAAGAGTAGCTAATGGTTGTTTTTAGGTTCTGCAATGGGTCCATTTGCTTCTAAATGTGTCTCAAATGTCCGTCAGTACCTGTGTTGTGCTTGTAGTGATGTGCAGACAGTCACGCTAAACGGAGGAGTAATTCCCTGAGCATCTGCTGTTAGAACCACAGCGATGAGCCCAAGCTCAATGGTACCAAAACCACACTAAGTAGAACATTACTTTTAATAAAGCCCCCGAATGGTAGGCAGCTCCTAACACAGGAGGCTCAGATATTGCTCAGCACCTGTTCTCTCCTTCCTCGGAGTGCAGCGGCCATTAATTCCCTGACCTTCAGCCACTCTCAGCAGCACTGGAGCTCGAGCTGACGACCGGCCAACCCCGGGATATAACCACTGTGGGTGGCAGCCGAGCAACTGAGTTATGAATATTATCGCTATAATAAAGAACAGTGTCCGACCTGGTGTGGGGCAAACTGTGCATGTGTGTGGGAGTCCCACATACAGGGTCATAACTCATGAGAATAACGCCTCTAAACTCAATTTGTGTGCAGAAAGCCTTCTAGTTAGAGCGTGTAGAACAGCAGATGCTTCTAGTGCTTGTGTGCATGCAGGCATACGCAATGTTGTGTGTGTGAGTGTGTTTGAGCGCATAAGGCTTCCGCTAGATTACATCTCCTGCCCCCTCGCAGCCCCAGGTGTCATGGAGACGATGGAGCTGTATGCTGCACAGCCTCCTATGACCTTATTAGGGCATTTTCAGAGTCTCGCACAGTTGTGCACAATGTACCGGCGCTGCACTGTGGCAGAATGCGTAAGCCTGCAGGCACTCATGAACCGTAATTCAATAACACAATACTCACTTTGTCCCACTTTCATGATTATCTTCATGGACTTGGTCTTGCACACTCCCCCCTCCTGGTTGTCGATGCCCTCCATTGTGCCGTTAGATGTAGCTGCAGGAGGCAAAGAGAGAGAGGTTAGAGTGAGCTGTCACTGCCAGCATCTTGTACAGAGGCAGTGCGGGAGGAAATTGTGTTGCTATATATGCCTCAGTCTATCTCGGAAAAACAGCCATTTCCCAAAGACCACAGAGGCACTGAAAGCCTTCCGCCGAGGCAGGAAATGAGTCATATCCCCTTTAATGAGATCACAATTCACCTGTTCATCACCTCGGACGCGCTACTCCTCACGCCCCCAAAGTCAATTAGCTTGAGTAATTTTGAATGTAATACCTCTAACTGTGCTGATGGGCCTCATGAAGGAGGCAGTTAAGGGAGGTGAGGAGAGGGGACAGCGTCCATTTTGGCAAGCTGCAGGAAATTTGGCGGTGCGTCGTGCATTTGCGCTAACGACACTCCAGAGAGAGGTAGCCGCTCATTAAAGAACACACTTTTGGATTTTTAAAAGCCCCTCAAATGCTCAGATCTGAATGCCAAACTGGCTGCCAGGCTTAAAGAAGGAGAACCTGCTGACAACTGAAAAAATATATTAACAGGAGGGGATGAGGAATTGTTAAAAATAATAAGAAATAGGGCACTTTTCCAGGAAGGCGGTGAAATTAAGGGAGCAGAGGGAGGTGATAAATGCCTCAATAGCCCTTGGATGAAAATCGCTTAAAAGAGCTACAAAAGCACATAAACAGAGGAGAAAACAGCAGTGCTCCACTAAACACCGTGTTTAAGGGACAGGGGCAGATGTCGGGGGGGAATCTCGAGGGGGCTGCAGGACGGCCCACATGTGACAGGAGGAACGAAACGGGCCCGGTGAGCAGATGATGTGAAACTGCACTCTGATAAAATAAATCTATACACTGAAAAAACTGAAATGTTGAATTGAATGAAATGTAGTAGGTCAACAGACCTCACATAACGGGATTAGATAAATGGAAGCATTGATGTTAAATATTAGGTTCAAGTTAAAAGTATTGCTTTCAACTAACCTAATACAGTTATTTGCCTTTTTCTGTTTCTTCAGTGTACTTGTTTCAAACTACAGATGTGGCCAACACACACCCCCCTGGAAAACTCAATCAGCTGCTTTAAATCCATTAGCTGCTGCTCTGCCTCTCTGCTTTGTATCTGTGCTGCCCCCAGAGGTTGCTGGGCAGAACTGCAGGGCACAGGGTGGGGGAGGAGGAGGGGGGGGGCTTGTGGTCTATCAGGTCAGTAACACAGAGGCTAACGAGCTGCCAGGGCTTAGCAGCTTGGCTTTCCGCCAGCGCGCAGTGGCCCGCATTCACCATACTGACCCCCCCCACCTCCTCCCCTCCCCTCTGCTTCCTCTCCAGTCTCTCCTCCTCTTTACCCTCCCAGAACAACACCCCATCATCCCCAGTTTCCACCTCTCCAGGGCGGCCATGCTTTCTTCCCTACACCCCCTTTACCCCTGCACATTTTTTCTTATTTCACAGAGGATTAAATTAAAGTCTTGTAGATTGTATGGAGGGACTGTTACCGGCAAAGTTCAAACACATTCCATTTCAATTTCTTTATATGCCTCAGAACATCATTCTAATTAATAAGGTTATCTTTTTCAGTGTTTCAATTAGACACACTTTATTCTAGCGTTTTAGATGTTACCTTTTTTTAATTAATATACTGTTTAATTGATGTATCATATGTTATGTTCCCCTTCGTTCTCCATCAAGGCAGGTGCTGGTGAAACTTGAAGATGCGCTTTCCTTTCTCCTCCTCCTCCTCCTCCTCCTCCATGTTGTCCCCTTTCCTTTTTTCCTTTCCACCCAGCTACCAATCATTTTGATCCGAAACCCCTTTGCTTCAATAAGATGGTGATGGGAGCGGACACAAAGAGCATGTTAACAAGGACTCCCTCCCTCCCTCCCTCGCCTCCTCTCTCCCCCTGTCTCCTTCTCTGGCTGACCTATGGCTTTTCAGTGGCGACCGAAAAGCACATTACAGACAAAGCTCCTTAAAGGCTTGTGCTCCTGTGCCCTGTGTGTTTGTGTGACATGCGTGTGTTCATTTCATAACCCTGTTAGCACAACACACATGAAATTACCAATCCTGCAGGGTGTCATTAACCACCTCGACGATGTTTACTTTGCGGAGCGATCAGCGCGGCGACGGTGCGTTTGGGTTTGAGGCGTCGAGGTGCATGAACGCTCAAAAGCCTGAGAGGTCGGAGTTCACATGGCTGTGAACTAAACAGAAGGTGTGTTTATGTCTGTGGCGCCTCCTTCATTCCTGCCTTATTCTTTCCATTTGCTCCCTATAAATCGCTTAACACATCCATCAACACTCACAACAGAAAAAAAGAAACATCTTGCTTGCCAAGATTTTTTTTAAACTACCCACTTGGCTGCAACATTTTCTTGACATTTAAGAGAAGCCAGAAAAAAATCCCTCAATCGGGAGTCATTTTAAATTCTCCTTCCCCTTTACATGCAGTGTTAAACACACTCACTATGCCAAGGCTGCAGTCCCAGAAAGCCTGACTTGGATTTAAACAGAATTTGATTGTTGAATGGGCTCAGGCTGAATGACTTGGCCCTCCTCGGCCCAGCCAGACGAGGCCAGGCTGACAGACTATCTGGCTAGAGTTAACCAGCTAATCCATAATGCTGGGGAACACGTTGGAGGAGGGGGGGTGGGTCATACAAGACCCTCACAAATGGATTTAGTCAACTAGCTGGCATTGCAGCATTTAGATAAGACTCACAGGGAGGGAGGGGGGGAGGGAGAGATGTGGGGGAGAAGGGGAAAAGGAGAAAAAATAGTGAGAAAGATTAACCCACTACTTCAGACTGTGACCTCCCAGAGAGAAACAATGAGAGAGAACATCGGATTTTCCTTCACTATGCTCTCCATCTCCACCGTGAGTTTCACATTCTATCTTCTCACTAGGACGTAAATATGGGCGTTTTGGGGCCGAAGACGACACATGCTCCCATACACACAAACACATTAACGCACTAATGCAGGAGCAGACTCCGCAGCCGGGGAAAAAGGCCATCAGGAAAAATCACTCACCGCCTGTGACAAAGTACCGCTTGAGACCAAAGTGACAGCTTGAGTGGGTCCACTCCATATATACACATTTACCCAGCACTCTCACACATACAACTTTAACCTCACACATTGTATGTAGCTTCAAATGGTAAAAGTGTGTCGAGGGAGTGTCCCCACTTTGAGCCAGCCTGTGTGTGTGTTACAGTCACCTGTGAAATTAGCACTAGCATAAATAAAAAAGCACGCTCAAACCCAGTGGCAAGCCGTGACTTTTATACCTAGGCCCTCTGACCCCCACCCTTTCCCTCAAAGAAAAAAAACGTATAACTAAAATATATATTTTTTAAATGTTTTTAAATATTATTTTGGAGAATATCTTAGGCCCTAGAGGGCCCTGACGGCTCACCACTGCTCAAACCACAATCCCACCCCTGCTCCGTAAACATACATCAAGTCAGTCCCCCCCACTCCCAACCGTCCTCACCCTCCTTAACTTAATTTATGCTACCTAACTTCATTTTCTACTGTTTATCAAATGAAGAGAGTGGAAAATAACCCTGCCTTCAAGGCATTCAATTGTGTGCTGCAATCCATATAAATATGCAGAGCTCCTGCTTTCTGCTCATGTAACTAGCAAGATAATCCTACAGATAGCTGTGCTAGCATTTAGAGCTAGTTTCAGATTAGCAAAGGGTAGTTGAGCTAACATAGCACACATGAGGTTGTGTCTTTTTTTGTTCTTTGAAATAGTTAAGTATATGATTTAATTTGTGGTGGGACAACGTTATGACCTTTTTATGGCATTTTCACAAAGTTCAAATAGGAAATTATATCTCGTACAGTATCAATAGGCTTGTAAAGCTTGAAAAATAGACTTTGAAAGCGGGCTTCGCTTAAATTGCTCAATTCTGTGGGTTTAATTAATACACAATGAGCTTCTGCATAAAGACAATGCCTTTCCTCATAATGGAACAGAGCTGAGGCATGGCAACAAGAGACTGAAGAGGCAAGAGAGAGAGGAAGAGAGATAATGCACACAGCCAGAGAATTAGAGAATGATTGGATGGACAGAGTGAGGATGTTTCCCCAGAAAGAAAAGAGGAAGAGAAGAGACAAAGGCAGCTATGATCTAAACGCTGAGCATTAATTGCCATCCATCGTGTTGCTGCGGAGCTGTCGCCACAGCGCTGGGGTTATGGGCTGGTTAATACCCCTCACCACCGTGTGCCCTAATCACCCGTGACAGAGGCGCCTCCGCATTTCGGGACCCCGGTGACCCTCAGAAACAGGCCAGGGCAAAGCTGAGTCGCCCCGGATAATCAAAGCTGTCCAAAAACCACTAGCCAACATTTAAAATCCATCATTTAAAAACACTTCACTCCATAATTTCAGCAGTGGTTACATTATGATTTAGCGCGTCTGAGAGTTTTTAGACACTTTTTAGAAGAGTATAATAATCCTGTCTCCCTTTATCATAATGATAACAAGGTCCCCAACAATCTAATACAGCCACCCTAGATGTATTGGGGTGAATTAAGAACGGATTGTCTGAATCAGACAAATCAGAAAATGCATGAAAGCACATTTTAAAATGGTATATTGATTTAATGAGAGGAATTTCCCTCTCACAGTATCACACGACAATCAGCAGGGACTATTTTTCTGTTGTGACTGAGGCAAAGGCTGATTAAAATCTTGATGACATTTCCTCGTGCATGTGTGCTCTGACTGTAAATTCAGCTCGTCCTTCTCCTGCCCTCTTTAGCTCGTCGTCTCTTCCTCTGCCCCCGTTCCCTTTGGCTCTTATTCTCCTCTCTCTCGTTAGCTCTCTTTCGCTGTCGTCACTCTTTCTGCCCCCTTTCCCTCCTTATTTATTCCTCTCTCTTTTCCCCCTCCTCGACCCCTCTCTCTCTCTCCCTCTTTAGCTCATGTAATCATCCAGCTCACTACGTCCTCGCCTGCAGGCCGTGCTGCCGCAAACAATCACATCAAACTCATCTGCTCTCAACTGGAGCAGCATTGTGCTTTCAAAAAGGCACACCGAAGTACACACGCATGCACAAAATACACAAACGCGCCCACGTGTATCACAGTGACAGAAATCTGCAGATATACAGCTGTGCACGCAAACTCACAATATGCAGTTTGCAAAGCCACACACACACACACACACACACACACACACACACACACTTACACATGTATCCGTCTTTTTCTTGCCCGTCTGTCTTCTCTTCATGATAGTACAGGAAGAGACAGGCAAGTAGTGAGGCCTGATTGCTTCAATGGATGGGTTTGATGTGTGTGTGTGTGTGTGTGTGTGTGTGTGTGTGTGTGTGTGTGTGTGTGTGTGTGTGTGTGGGGGGGGGGTTGAAATACTCGTCTAATCTAGGTCTAGCCTTGGCACAATACTCAATGCAAGGCAGCGCTAATCCAATTGGTTAAGACTCAGATCCGTAGCATTGATGTGGGGGCCTTGGCCATTGTGAGAAGTAATGGAGGATTAAACGCCGGTTAATTAATTACGTATCGAGTGCTCACTCCAAAAGACTAATGAATTCCTCGCCGTGAACTTTCTGAGGCTGTGTCACACTGATGGATCTTGGACAGGACTACTGGAGGGGGGGTCGGACAAATACGCACACACACACACACAGAAGATGGAGATGCTTTGAGGTGGAGCTGCACGGGGCAAATCAGGCCAATATGTATCTTGTATTCCCTTCTGCCACGGAGACACACGCAGTTATAGGCAGAGATTCACACATTGGCTCACTGCAAGGTAGAAACAACCACTATCAGACTGATTCCACACACACACACCTCTGCACATTCCTCTCATTCTCTCTTTTTGTTGTGTGTGTTTGTGCTTTACTGCTGCTGTTTGCCCATGCAAAGCTGGAGCTTCACCAAGTGGCCGATTCAACACAAAAAGGCAACATAGGCCACAATGAAGCTGCAGAGGGCTGTTCAAAAGCTGCAGAGCTGGAGCCAGAGCTGGAGCCAGAGCTGGAGCCAGAGCTGGAGCCAGAGCTGGAGCCAGAGCTGGAGCCAGAGCTAGCCAAGGAGAGGCAATTAATAGCAAAACGTGACATATGCCGATGGAGAAACAGCTCCCTCTCCCCTCTTTGGGCTACACATTAGCATTTTCGGTAGATGTGAAGGAAGGCGGGATGACGGAGAGGGGGGTGTGAATGTCGATGGAAAAGGGAATTTGCAAGAAGTGCAACATTTGAATTTTCCGACCCTTCTTTTAAAGTTCCGAATTGAACTTTCGCACAGCTCTTTCTGTTCCAACGTGTCGACTCGGCATGTTGATGGAGATGAGAGGTTTTCAACGTAAGGCGCTTGGAAATTGAATATGCTGGTCTGCTAAAACTGTGCCACAGAGAGAAATAGCTTCTATAGCTTCTATGGATGTACCGCTACAGTTGTGTGTGCAAAGAGACGCTGCTCCATCTCCAGCCTCCTGAGGAACAGTGTGTTATCAGTGTGTGTTTGCCCTCACCCATGCACCCAGCACATGCACCCCTAAATGTACCCGTGCTGCTCTTTCTTAGACATGTTCTTCATTAACCCGAACTTAACCCTGACTTCTGATTGCGATCCACCACAGTGTGATCACGTTTAGCCGCAGGAGCGCAGGCAGAGCGCCGGGAGAACCAGAGAGAGTAAACACCAGCTCATCAATAATTAACTGCAGCTTTTGGGAGGGAGAGGAGCGGAGGGCGATGGTGTCTGGCTCAGAAGCCTTTGTAGTCCTAGCACACACACACACACACACACACACACACACACACACACACACACACACACACACACACACACACACACACACACACATACACACAAACCACATCTGATGGTTTGTCAGGCTCCTGTGTATGTGGATGCATGTGCTTGCTTGCTTGCACAGGTCTGTTTAGTCCCATATATTCTTTATTTTCCATCCAAATTCAATGTGAGCCTTTGTAAAGCAATCAGCCGCACTGCTCCAACATAGCTACTTGTCTTACCTGCAAGACCACACAAGCAGCTGTTAGACTCTTACACAGCAGGAGCAGCCCCCCCATGCAAATATCCTGCAGCTATGACACATTGGTGACAGAGCAGCCACTTTTGCTTTTGTAGTTTGAAACTGACTGAGGTCGGACTGAATGAGAATAATGCGTCTGTGGTTTCTCTAACAGCTGTTTGACTGACCTCTCTGCGGGACTTCTGTGGAGCTCAGAGGAACATTACATTCACAGGAGTCTGCTTCTGCGGACGGTTTAAAGTGGGTCATATAGCGTACAATACAATTACCTTGTGCATTTGTTTTGCTGAATTCAACTTCCTCTTCCCGCAGACTGTTTGGAGTCAGTATTTTCTGCTCCTCTTTCCTCCTCCCTCAATTCCCTTTTCTTCCCCTCTTCCTTCTCCTCACTCAAAAAGATGGCCTTCTCCTACTGTGACAGCTCACAGATGGCCGTGGCAGAGCCTCACAGATGGTCCTATCTGCGGTACTCCCCCTATCAGCGCCACACAGATGGTTCAGTCCACCTCCCATGTTTCAAACCAAGGGGCCGTCGCTAAAACCCGATCAGAACTTCCTACCAGGGCGACGTTAGTACATCACAGGCAATCAGCCGCACCTGCACCATGACAGAGTGAGCGCTGCGGTCTGAGCGTGTTAAACATTCACATTCTGACAGGCAACGTTTTTCCTACAACTTGGAATGGTCTGGCTTTAATATTCCCATTGTCTATTTGGATCTTCCTCCAGGCTTGATTTGTGCCAGAAGCAAATTCCATAAGGAAAATCTTTAAGAAGAACAGAATTCCTTTGAATGGACTTTGAGCATACCTTGAAATGGACCTAAAATGTTTACTTATGTGCTCAATAAAAAAAAGATTGTAATCATACAGGATAGCTTCTATCTGCCAATTAAGCATTGGCAACTTTCCCCTCAACCCAAGACTCATGTACTTCAGTTTACTTCCTGTAAATCTCAGTGTCCATCAACCACAGAGACTGATCAAACTGATCAAACGCCTGATGCTACAAAACTGAGTGTTGAAAGGATTACACCCAGAATAATGTCCCACCCTGTCTTTGACCAGTTATCCACCAGAAACAGAAAACCCCACAACAAAGTCCACCATAAATTCAGTGCGTCACTAACACCGGGTTCTTCGACCTTGCCGAACTGCTCCAGGCTGTTTTCCCCTTCAATTATGCAAAGCCTAATTTATTGCCCCCTCAGGCAGAGACATGTACTTACAGATGATGTAGTAGTCCTTCCCTCTGAAGAACTCCAGGCCCCACAGGTTGGGGCTGAACTCCTGGAACTTGAGGGTGAACTTGACGTCCTGGTCGGGCTTGACACAGTTGAGGAGTGGCGTGTCGGCCTTGGTGATGGTGCAGCTATCCTGCTGGTCCCGGGGCACCATGTATACCTTGAAATACTCCACGGCATCATTCATCCCGGCTTCCGAACGGGGGCACACAATGTCCAACTTATCCCCGATCTGGGGGTACAGCACCACGCCTTGGCTCGGCACAAATCTGAAAGGAGAGGAGGGAAAGAGGATATTAGCAGGCTGCAGAGAAACTGATGATAACTCATCCATTATGCATTGCTGATTGGAGTGTTTGCCATTGAGCCTCTCTCCATATCTTTCAACAAAAAAGAGAAGTCAGCTTAATTATTGATGTGGTAATTACTGATTGGATCCATTAATTTTAGATGATGACGGATAATGATGGTATGTGTGTATATGTGTGCATGCGGTGCAAAGTGACCCCGTATCTGAGGATGAAATCACAGCTTTTTCTTCAGCATTGTGACAGCGACGGAATAATGAACTGGATAAATGAGGAGAAGGCTTCCCGGATGCCAGGGAAAAGGCAGAAACGGCAGAAACAAAACAGAAAATTAAAAATCCCGGACTGGGTGAGGCAACATCATAAACAGGAAGAGCTGCAGAAACAGACTTGGACTGCAGGGCTTTGTTTGGGAGTGCAGTTGTATTTCCCTAAATTCTTCCCAAAAGTAAAATAATGTCGCCATTTACTCTCCGAGCGCTGAGAGCCCCCGCAGCATGATTGCACACACACTCACACACACACACTCACAGTTGGAGCTCCAGTTGGAGGTGAAACCTTGTATTTATCTGCTAAACCAATTTGCCCCGACGCTTGAATACAATTTGAAGTGTTAACCGTGGAGGCCCTGGAGGCTTTTTAGAGCTGCAAGTAAATAGACAGGAATGCATTGCACATACTGACTACTGAAGATGATGGGGATGTCTATGGGAACCATTTTGGCTTATTGTGTCGATTCCATGTATGTGTCTGGTGGGGGAGAAGAAGAAATCACCCCATTGAACAATTAACTGATCAATCAAAAATGATATTGTGCAGATTTATAAACAGTAAAAGTATTTAAAAGTTTCACCTATTGTCCGTTCCTTGATTCTATAGCTAACCAAGGCTTGTTTTGTCTGAAAAACCGTTCAACTCTATCTTTACAATTGTATAAAGGAGAGAACATCATCAACTCGTCACATTTGAGCGGGTGGAATCAGCAGAGGTTTGACATAATGCTTGATAAATGACCCTTAATTATTTACAAGTTGTACCTTCTGATAATTGATGAGGTTTGTTTATTTATTTCCCTCACAAAACTCCATCCAGCCATACATAAACACATACTGTAAAACAAATGTTTAAGTGTGGGCTGCCTGGCGCCTCTAACTGGCTTCTTTTCCTGGAATAAACCACATTAGAGCCTATAAGATCCTCTCATTACAAAAGTAATGAGACTGAAAACAGCACACTCTCCTGCTCTGCAGCGTGAGGCTTTTACTCGCTTCTTTTTTTTCTGACTACAAAGAGAGCCACCGCAGGGCGGCAGGGAGCCTCTACACAGGGGACGGGTGGCAAGGCACAGTCGATTCATAATTAACAAAGACCACTAAATGAAATAGCGGGGGGGGAAATCCAACGCATAATCGTTTTTATATATATATAAACAAGCCTGGGATGCTAGCTATGACAGAAGCATGTTTTTTCTCTCATCTCTGTCACACACTCTTTCAAATGATACAGTCACACATTATTTCTCCTTCCTCCTGCAACAGCATGCATCATCTTCCTTGCTTCCGGCTTGAGCTCGTGCACGAGTTGGTTACACACACACGCGCAAGCTAACAACGTGCAAGCGCGGCGGCTAACTAGGCCGAGTGAATATTTTCTGCCCCCTGGGGACACACTCAGCGGTGGCACCGTGTGTCCAGTGACGGACCCAGAGATGGGGAATGTATGTTCATGCATCGCAGCGCCATCTGGCATCATCTTATCATGAGAGTGTGTGTGGAAGCGGGGGCGAGAACTAGAGCCCAGAGAGAGGAAAGGTCCTTAGCAAAGCCTAAGGGGGGGCTTCACTTCTATGCACACACTGTGGAGCCGAAGGTGTGTGCATTAACCTTGTGTGTACGTGTGAGCACGACTGCAGGCAATCACTTACGTGTGCTAGTGTGTGTTTATAAAGCGGTGAAAGCATGCGTGTGTGTGTGTGCAAGTTAGCGTGAGTGTGTAGCACATCCCGTGGTGGTCATTATTTATCCAGCGAGGTTAATCTAAAAGTGCTTCAGTACTCGGTAATGACAACACAACAGCAGATCTCTATCCTCCTTTATCGCCCTTTCCCATCATGCTTTGCACATCAGGATCCATGTGTGTCACAGTCCTGAGCGTTCAGGTGATTATGTTAGAAGTGATACCTGAGTGAAGTAGGAAAATGTATATCATACAAACATGTTATTTATGTAAAAAGTAACTGTAAGTGGGGTTTCTTTTTTTTTTAAAAGCACAATATTTTGAAGTAGAAACTACGATGTAGCAGAAAATGTAAAGTACCTCAAAATTGTACTTAAGTACAGAAGCCTACTTGTGTACATGCACGTCTTAGTTAGACTCCATCACTGTGCATGATTCATCTGTGTTATTGTTCTCCTTTATTAGAATAATAACCTGTCTGTTTGCCGGACAAACTAAATTAGGGGTTTTATCATTAGTTACAATACTGATTATGTTGGTACACTATTTTATATAAAGAATTATTTTCAACTCCCTAAAAGAGAAAATATTTTAAACTTAAAAAGTTCAAATGTGACACACGCCCAGGCCAACACCTTCTGTGCAAGCAAACATAGTGAACAAGTGAGTCATCAATAATCTTTCCCATGACACATTTCACCAACACCTTCCTGACAATACCAGGGAACTGCTGCTCTGCTAGCATGCATGCTATCACTGCTACAAGTGGTCGACTTACTCCTTCAAAAACATGACGAAGTGGACACAAAGCTAACACACCAGCCTAGTTACATGACACACCCACACAAAAACAACACAGGGAGATTTCCTGTCAGAACAACCGATACGGTATCATAATGGCTCTCTCCTGTTCTTTTCAAAACTGAGATCTACCTTAGCCAGGGGGGGGGGGACAAGAGCATCCTCTCTATTACACTCCTGTGTGTAAGCCAGCTGATTTATAGAGCTAATAATGAGAGCATTCAATAACTGCTGACAAAGACCAATACAACCGTTTGAGTGGGGTTTTAAAGAGGAGCTGCCAGGAGGCTGATTGAGGGCAAATATGAGCTATGCTGGATGGTCTCAGAGAAAACCCAGAGACATGGAGAATGTCCCGTTGGACCCTCATTCATCACCCCTCCCCCTGCCCTGCGCTGTGCGAGGACACCTGGCCAATGGCACCATCAGAAGCTAACAGCAGGTACACAAGGTCATGCTGTACATACTGCAGATAGCAGGGAGGGGCAGGAAACATATAGGAACCTGACCCCCTATCTCATGATTGTTAAGGTCTGCCATTACACAGCAGTGTCTTTAAACACTGTTGGGAACTGGTTAACTACAACTAGCACACATATTGATAGACTATAGGTAGAATACAATGAAAGCCTATAAAACTCTCGTACTTTAAAACACTCCGTCAGTCCAACATCAACTAAATCCAAATAAATGGTTAGATAGTGAAAATTGAATTAAATGATTGTGTGTTGCTGCTAAGTGTACTTTCACGTCCTCTGATCACCTGACCCCCCCCAGCTCCACCTCTGACCCCACCAGCCACAGGTGCCTCTCTCCTCTCAGCCTCCGTCAGAAATAAAGGCTTTTATACTATTGAGAGGCTTTTCATAATGAAACGGCAAAATCAGACAGCTGCAATTTTCTCCGAACAAAAAGCCCTCGCAGCTTTTCTTGGAATGGGCTCTTAAAAGCATGGACTGTGATTGCTCTTTAGTGGAGGTCCATGGCTGCCTTTGTGAACATGACTTTCACATTCACATGGATAATATTATCTTTTGTGAAATATGGAGCTGTGCATTTCAGGTTCCAGGATACTTTAAAACCATGTAAGAAGTGAAATGCCAAGCCCGCGGCCTGAGACACAGGTGCAGAGTCCTGCAGCCCTCTCCACCTTCAACTGTCTGTTCTAGTGTGTGTGTGTGTGTGTGTGTGTGTGTGTGTGTGTGTGTGTGTGTGTGTGTGTGTGTGTGTGTGTGTGTGTGTTTGGGGCAAAGGAAAGAAGCAGCAGGAGGACTGTACTCCTACTTCCTGAGGTTATTACCGCTGCAGTCAAAAAGACAACAAGAAGTAAAGTTAGATCTCTCCTTCCTTCTCTCTCTCTGTCTCCCCCCCCCCCCCGTCTCTCAAACAGCCTTTTTTATTTAGACCGCTCCTAGGATTTGTGACAAAACAGCCGCGGTGGTCTCCCCCAGTTATGAGAAGACAAAGTAATATGATTGAGGTGTATGTGGGGGGGGGTATTTTACTACAGATCAAGAGCAACTGTTTGACTCGGAATCCCAGCTGCAACGCAAGGACTCATTAAGGCGGCAGACAAAGAGGCCGAGTGAGGGTTAATCCAGCCGCCATTCTTCACAGCGCCCCGGCTTTCGCCCTCTGTCGGCCGAGGGGGGGACGAGGGTCTTTTAGGACGCCTGTCGCCCCTGTCGCCCCCCCTCTCCTTGCCCTCTCTCTGGTTCTGTCTCGCTACCTTTCATCCAGTAATCCAGGCCTATGGGTTCTGAGCAGGCCTAGACATAATTACCCTGGCCGCCCCCAGGGCCCGACACTATCTCCCCTCTCTTTCATATTCCTTCACTTCCTGTTCTTTTTATTACACAATCTTAATCATCACTGGACATGAATCATTATACAAAAGCCACCTCTGTCCCCCCGGATGTGCAGGATTTCACTTTGACTCACTGAAGAAACTGACTTTAATGAAATGTATTATGACGTCAAATGTCATGTATTAGGTCAGCTGAAAGCAATAATATTAAGTTGAACCTAATATTTGTTTTTTAAACTTAATATTAATGCTAATACAGTTGTGTGAAATCTGTTGACAATATATTTATTAAAGTTCACTGCTACTTCCATTTGACCTCTCCGCCTGATCGATGAGGCTAAATTAAAGCAACTGATCCTTCTATCTCTGAAAAAAGGAAGACAGGAAAAATCAGGCTGGCTTTGGAGAGGAGGGGTAGTTTGAGGAAGAGGGGGGGCGGCGACATTACATTCAGCACAAGGCCTCGTCAGTCATTCATGATGGACCTGCATCTCGATGCATCCCCCCCACCACCGCACAGCCCCCCTGTGCATTCACAAATAGGACCCACAGAGGTGCCCCCGTCACTGCCCGGTCACAAAGGGCCTTTGGGGGCTTCTATGTAATCTCTTAATGAACTGCAGTGGAGGAGAGGGAGCGCTCCTTTTTACATAAACCATGTAAAGCAGGCCTCGCTTTTGTTTCTCCCTCCCAACTACAACATGGATTACCACGAGAAGGAGGTGTGTGTGTGTGTGTGTGTGTGTGTGTGTGTGTGTGTGTGTGTGTGTGTGTGTGTGTGTGTGTGTGTGTGTGTGTGCGTGTGTGTGTGCGTGTGTGTGTGGGAGATTCAGAAGGGTGGAGGGAGGTGGTGGTGGGGTCATTGGTTTTTTTCGTAGTAGTAGGTTCATGCACAAGGGCAATAAAGTAGTAAGGCGCAAACAACAATAAGGTTTAATCGACACAGCCGTGGGCCCCGTGGTGGGTTTTATCTTCCACACACACTTAGTACACACAGTGTGTTAGAGAGCCTGGCTGTTTCTTTATCCTCTCCCCCAGCCTACACACACAAAGGCATTAGACTGGCCCGCAGCCTTCACATTTCTAATATTCATCCTTCCTTGAATAGTCGAAAAGGAGACGAGGAGACGAGCTGGAGGAACGCGCAGAGGTTCTGGAGCGTTCTGCTGACCTGCTGCAGAAACATATTCACGCACGGGGGTTCTCTGTTACCAGGGGGGAGTGGGCGACACACAGGCCGGCATGAGGACTTTCAACAAGCAGTGAAAAGGGGATGATACACTCAGGGAAGTTATTCATCACACTGTAGCTGTGTGGAAAATGAGCGGCATCTTACTCTGAAACTTTAACTAACTTTCTTACTTTTTCTAATGCAGGGGCGCAAAGTGTAAAAATACATTAACTGCAATTTTCACAACTTTTCATGTATACATTGTATTTACAAGGCAGGGGGATAACTTAACCTTCTATAGTTCCTACTTTAGTTATGGTGGTGTGTCAGTTCCGATGGCCAGGAGGATTACTACACAGTTGTGGAAATGAATGTAAAACATCACATTCAAAGTTTTGATCATATCCAGATACCGGTGACTAAATGTGTTGTACCTTTGTAAATACAATGTGATCTAGAAGTTGTAATGTACATGTGTAAATAATAAACTGAGGCATAAAAATGTTGAATTTCCACACATTTTTCTTAAGAAATGTCAGGTTGTTCATAACGTTTGCTAGAAAAAAAGTTCATTAAAAGTGAACATTTTCAGAATGTACTTTTTTGCACTAAAACAAAGGGAAGAATTTGGAGTTGTGGTTATTTAAAGGATATTGTGCTATGATTTTACTGCTCCGGCCAACTTGAGATCAAATTAGGCTGAATGTGGCCCCTGAACTAAAATTAGTTTGACACCTGTTCTAATGAGTAATAATATAACAACTTTATATGAAATGTCCCAAATATGTTGAGAAAAAGCTGAGTTGTATTGCATACAGAGCACTTGAACTACCAACTGAAGCTATTGTCCCGCCTGTGCCGTGCTCCAACCCAGTGTTAGCTCCACAGGAAGAGGTGAGTAGTCAAACAATGATATCACTCTCTGGCCTTTTACCTCTGAACTCCTCACCCACCCAGACAGAACGCAAAGAATGCGCACAGGCACACACTAATTCCGTGGAATGCCCTCTGCATTGGTGGCAGCCCGGGGCCTGAATACTTTCCCCGAGGCTGGACCATGTTCCCCTTTTGGGTTCTGTCCTCCTTTTACGAAATCAAGAGTGAAATGACACAAGAGCTGCAGCTCCAACATGGAGAAGTTCTCTAAAAGCACAAAATGAGTTGATCCCTATAGAGAAAACAACCTTTACAACACATAGCATGACATTTAAAAAAACACATTTGCTGTGAACTACTTTGCATTGGCTTCACACTGAGATCTCTCGACACGTCGGATTCAAGCAAATGTTTCCTGCTGAAATCAATGTGGGGTGTTTTGTCTCACTGTCTCTCTAATAAGGCCAAATGGTCATCAAATGGCTCTACAGCACAACAAAGAACTCACTGCACACGGCAGCACAGGGCCATTTGGGCTGAAATATATGTAGTGAAAACCAAAACCGATATTAACCTTTAAAACCTGCCTGTCTGTCTAACAATGAGATCAAGTATGAGTGCGTCACCGATGAGATTCAGACACGGCGGGACACAGATGGCTGAGGCAGTCAAGAGGCTAGAAGGCCGGGTGCTTCATGCAGAACACAGATCAGTGTGTCCCGCAGACCCTCCACTCAAATACATGGCGCAGACGTGGCCCCAGTGCGCACAAGTTAACGTTTATTTCCAGCAGTCAGCCTGCAGGCCATGCAACAATAGACACCTGTTAGACGATCATAACGTCTCCATTGTGTGCATTTCTGAGAAGGGAAGCAGAGAGGGGCTTTCTGGGCTGCATCGGAGCCAAAAGCTGAATTATTGAGCGAGTTGGAGTTTGGCCGTGACGAAACGGCCACAAAGAGGGGCGCCCCCCGCCGGGCTGAGAGCAGGGGTGTAGAGGAGGAGAAAAACACCTTTTTATTCGAATAAAAGACTTTAACCGCCTCTCTGGGCCTGTTGGAATATTCAGGAGGCACATGGAGTGTTTAGATTATTTTAGATTGGGGAACAGGCGGGGAATAAGTGGAGCCCGTGTTTGTTTGCTTTAATTCATATTAATCTACACAGCAATGGTCATAGCTAATGCACCATTTTCTGAATATATACTCACAAGTGTATGAGACATCCTGAAATGTCAAACCCGACACTTCTACATGCAGGATTCTGACCGACAGTGAGAATGTCTGGATGTATAGAGCCATAAAAATGCGCACGGCGGTATATTAAAAGGTTGTGCGTCACCTTACCAGTATAATATACTTTGCTCAAATCATCATTTAATTGTACCCACACAACGTGTTGGACACCGTCACCAGAGCTCCAGAGGCCCGGCGGGACGCCCCGGCTGCTCCATGAAGCCTCCACCCGTCACGTAAAGCACAACGAGGACCCATTCCTCTCCAATCTCATATTTAAATTATCTTCAATACTGGGGATAAAAATGATATCCAATATTTTATCCAGTGGAAACTCAACCGCATGAATAAACAGGCCTGCTAATGAGCTCAGTGCAGCTTCAAAGCTCTGCTATTTTTAATTGATTCAGACCTGTTACAGTCAGATATGAATCATAGTAGTCCAAGTTGTTATTGACCGAGGAAGCGATGCGTAAAGTTACCTTCAAAATTAATTGTCTTAAAACTATCAAAATCCCAAAAACAAATATAAAGAAATATGCCAATAAACAAAGAATAACCGATGGATCGCACACACTACCGAGCCGTGTGTGTGTGTGTGTGTGTGTGTGTGTGTGTGTGTGTGTGTGTGTGTGTGTGTGTGTGTGTGTGTGTGTGTGTGTGTGCTGCCTCCATTATGCGCGACCGAGCGGGCCCTGTCCACTGCACGTAAATATTCCCACACAGTAAATCTACCAGATTAGATGTAACGCCATACTCAGAGCTAAATACAGTTTTCTTTATCTTGACAGGCGTTTAGGGTGATGTGTTTATCATGTAGGGTAAAGCGTGTCTTAGTATCCTAACCCCGATGCCTCTCGGAATACAAACTCCGGAGTGAAGCTGCAGAGCGGGCACGGATCGATGTGAGATGTTTTACAGATCATTAAGGTTCTGTGGGAAACTCGGCATACTCACGACCCACTATAAACTGTTTTTATTTCTGACCAAAAAAATGTAATCGAGTCTCGATTTCAACAGATAGTTGTCGTGGAAAGGTATTGTGAGGATAAGAGGCAAATACTCATTTACATTTAAAATTACGCTCCTATGAGAGCTCTTTGTTTCACTTAATGTATGCTGAATGTAAGAGTGGCTTATGTTTAACTACCCCATGTTAACTCGTGCTATTTTACCCATATAGGCAATGGGCGGCGGGGAAAGCAACATTCAATTGCAAGATTTTTCAACTGAGTCTGGCACGAAATGCGCCGACACACGGGAGAGCGCTCGGCACCGCGGGGGCCAGCAGCAGCTCGCGCGGCTTGTGTTCCACTTACTTGGTATTTGTTGTGTTCCAGTAGATGGACTCCAGGATGATCGCCCGGCACAAGTCCACTTTGAAGGCAATAAACAAAACTCCGAAATAATATCTCCACATCGAGTCCCCCATGGTTAGCCTGCGCGCACAATCCTTGTCGAATATGTCCACAAAAAACAAATCAAGCGCTCCAGAAAAAAAGGCTGACCGTGGCAATTTCTTCAGTTTATATCCCGATTCAGAGATGCGCAAATCCAGATCAGAGCATCTCCAGAGGAGCTCCAAAAAGCAAAGGCGCACGGCAGTAGTTCATTCAGCGGCAGCGGGTGTATATTCTCCCCTGTTCAGAGCGCACACTTCTCCGCGCTGTAATACATCCCTCACAGAGAAAAAAAAGTAGTGGGGCAGGCGGCAGATGGAAATCAATAAAAATATAAATCCCCCTGCGTAATAGTCCAGCAGTGCACGCCAAAATCCAAATCAGCAGCAGAGAAAAGGACAGAGAGGCTGGGGCTGGAATGGAGAGATATTCCCCTTCAGATGCTGCTGCTGCTGGTGGTGGTGGTGGTGAGCTACAAACTGTGGGTGACAGCAGCAGAAAAATGAGAAGGGCAAAACTATGAGGTCGGATGGTCAAAATGAAAAAAATGGTAAAATATGAGAATGAAAGAAATCAAAGGAGCTGTAATGGAAGTTCTCATACTAGAGGTTCCCCCAACAAGTGCCGCGGCTCGGTCCTGCAGATATCGTCCTCCACACGGCCGCACACAGCGTAGCGATGATGCCTTAGTGCTGCTCCGAAACCTGGATGGAAAGTAACTGCGAGCTGCCGAGACTGGGAATATTTGGTGGAGCAGGCTCCGCCCCCCGCCGGAGCTGATTGGTCCCAACGGCGGGGAATTCAGTAGGAGCCCTGCTGTCAGTCAAGCGCGACAACTGGTTCAGCACGGTGACTAGTGGTGAGCGAAATGTGGAGGAAATACAGCGAATCCTACTTAGTTAACTAGCAGGTGGATGAATATCAATCTGAAAATGTGACTTGTGTCTAATTACGACATCATAAAAGTGTCAAAGCATATTAAGTAGTCCACACAAAAACAATAAAGGTGCATTTCACTTAAATTAAAACATAGCTAACACTAAAGAACAGCAATTATATTTGGACTTCTTATAAAAGCATAAGGGCTCTCAAACAACGCATAACGTGTTTATAGTTTCTGTAAATAGTCCCATAATGAAAACAATGAGACAACATTGGGTCCCATATGGCTCGCGCACAGCCATGTATGGAGCCACAGTGCTGCGCGTGTCTCCATCAGAGCACTGCAGCGCGAGCTCTTCCGAAGGGCACGAGCGCCCACTAGCGGGAAAGACATCTCTGAGACAGATGAGGAAATACAGAAAACAATAGAAAAGTGTTGTTTTTTTACATCTAAATGTAATTTAAAAATAACATAACTGCTTGTATTCATGTTTAAAAAAGTACAGCATCAAACGATGAAGTGCCTAATCTAATTAAGAGATTTTATCATCAAGCCCACGTCATTTTAAAGAGAAATCCATTTTAGGCTGTTTAAACTTTTTAGAAGTTTAAAAAGTATGGCAGCATTTCAGGAGTTTTTCCTTGACCACCACATTATTTAGGCCTACATTATAAGATTTCCTGCACAGGATTTCCGAACAATTAAAACGTTGTTTTAAAGTTCTTTCAAAGCATAATTGAGACGGCACACATTGACACTTTCTACAAACACTCTGCTTTTAGTCAATGGCCTCTAATTTGATGAGCACTCACACACCTCTGCAGTCGTAGATTACAGGTCCATGAAGGCACCGTGTGAAGTTTTGACACTGTTTAACGCATAGATTTAACGATTTAATTCGATCAGGCTTTCTCCAGGCGGCCGCTGTGGATTGCGGCTGTTTGTTGATCGTCCGGCTGATATTCACCGCAGACTGTGTTTATTGCAGCAGCGTGAACATCTCATTAATTTAATTATGCGAGAGGCAAAGGCAACTAACTATATTAGATTAACAAGACTGGCACGCGGCTCTGCGAACGGGCCCATACCGTTCTCTAAATAGGCTATAAAACAATGCCATTTATAGAGTTTTAGAATGTGTCTACATATTTTAAAGATAGTATTTTATAAATGTGAGAACTTGATAGTTGTGTTTTTGTTTTCTCTACACACCAACGTTTAAAAGTGGCTGAATAAAAAAATAACGAATAGGCCTATGCCCGTTCTTGAAGCTATTTAATCATTGATTTAATTTGTGTAAATATGCGCCTCTTCCTTCGTCTGAAGTAACGCATCTCTTAAGATAATTTTCCCATATCCTTATCTTTATATTTCATGTAAATTATATGGCTCTATTTTTCATCAAATGTGTCGTTTGAAAAATTGCGGATGACAGCGCAGAGGAAGTTTTGAGTTTCTTTATTTTTAAATCTCTTCCTTCCTGCCTTAAAACAAGTCCCTCAGCCCGACGGGCAATGAGCTGTGGAACGTCTTTCCTGAAGAAACACCCCCCCCCCCACACACACACACACACACACACACACACCTCTGAGGTTGACACTTGCAAACAGGAAAGCACTTTAGACAGGACTTTAACTATTGTTGTTCCAACATTGTTCAAAGATAATCAAATGAAAATGGTCCTGCTGACAGACAGGCCGCTAATGTTGGTATTTCAAACAGACGCGAAACAAGTTTGGGTAGCTCAGCTTGCCTTTAAAAGAACATTTAAAAAAAAAATGAATAGCCTATGTAGAATAGCCCGAAAACAATAGGATAACATGACATTTCTTTGTTTTACTTTCTGTATTCAGCTTGGAAACTTTTTTAAAACATTGTTTTATCTCCAAGTAGCCAACTCGTTTTTTTCTCTTTCAATTTAGTTTGTAGGGGAAAAGTTCTCTAAACCAGCTGTAGATTTTTTTTTTTTTCAAACTAACTAAATGTATTAATTAAATGACTTGTCTCAATCAGAAACAGCCCGCGAGAAGCCGCGGTGAGCCCCGTTTGTTCCGCGGCACCGGAGCGGAGCGGGGTCTCCGGGGCCGGGGTCTGCTGTTCACCCGTCTGTCGGTGTCGGACTGTGGACTGTGCTGGGTCTCTCTAAACTACAGAAAACGGTTGGCAGGAGTCACCAATTAGTAAGACATTAAAATAATAGTAGGTTCGTTTGCTCCTCTGATTCAAATAAACAAAGTAACCCGAGTACTCACCTCTCAATCCGTCATTGCTTGACATTCACTTTTAAAAGCACTCGACATCTAACATTGGATTCACTGTGCCGCCTTAAGCGTGATCGGCCCGTGCCGGAGGACTCGGATTCGAATCCCCTCCATCTCCCCCTTTCATCTTAGTCGCTTAAATAGAGGCACTTTCAAAAAATCGTTAAAGAAAAAGTATATATATAATGCTATAATATAAATAATATATATAATATAATAGATAGATTAATTCAGACGATTGCTAACAAACATCAGGTAGGATTTTCTGTGAAATGGCAAGATGGGTGGGAAGGGGGAGGGACGGGGTGGCATGGGAAAGGGATTCCCTATATTTTTTCTTTCTTTGTCTTTTCTTTTTCTTTTTGAATTGTCTATATCATTTGTATCTGTATACAAGTCCCTTTTGTGAGGGCAAAAAAACAAAACAATAAAATGCTGGTCACAAAAAAAACCTTTATATATATGTGGATACATTCGTTGAGACTTTAAGCAAACTGCTACCAAACACAGTAGTATTTGTTGAGGTGATTTGTCATGTTGAAAATGAGAAGCATGATCTCCATCAGCAGCCTTTCTGAATCCAGCTGCTGTTACAGGGTTTGTTAACTTGATGTTGATGTATCGCTCGGCTCAAGGGTGGAAATGGATCGTAGTTCGATACAAACCGCTGACAAAGCCGGTGTAATGTCATTAAAATGTGCCAGTCTGAAATACTACTTATTTAAAACGGTAGTGTAAAGTGCTTTTAATTAACTTATTTGTGAGCTAGGACTCAATAAAAAGTAAAAAAGAAGTTGAGGATTGTTTCCTTTAAAGTTCTTCACATCATCACACAGACACATGAGTGGCATTCAATGGATTTATTGAACTGTTCAGTCCCTTGACATTTGGGAGAAATTACATGACAAATTCCAAGTCCCACAACATAACAAAAAGTCTTTATACCCACCTTAGGTCAGCCTGCCTGCCAGTCACACACACAAACAAACAAACACACATTCGCTGTCACACTCACACTGCTGCTGACCTTAAACCTGATCTTACCTGAACTTGTCCATCCTAAACGAATCAAGACTTACCAAGCGAGGCGCATTGCCAATTTTTATTTAATCTACAAAACTGTCATTAATGAAGGGACTGTATGCTCGGCTGTTCCCAAAAATTCTCAAAATGCAAAACTCAAGTATTACTGTGACTTTTGTGATCAACTTCCTAACACAATCTGAATTTGGGGGAGGAGTAGTGGGAGTCAGCACATCACAGCAAGGCTAATAAAGTTACATCATACAGGAAATGCACTCTCCCCTGCCTTTACCCACAGGCCCCCTTTTATCGTGGACGACACACACATCCTGTTGTAAGGATCGGTCACGGGCAGCTTGGGAGTTGGGCTGCGTTAACCTGCACTGCAGCGACTAAAAACCTAACACATATCATCTCAGGTCGACATGCTGCTGTCATTTTAGAAGAAAAAATTATATACATGGCAGACAGAGCTGGAGCAGAAAGAAAAGAGGTTCATGTGAACGGAGCTCATGGAGGAAGGAAGGAAAGTGGAAGACACACCGTTGTCAGCTGGACGGGAAGTTCACTGTGATCGGTTACCACTGCCTGTTTCAGATGAAAAGGAGAACAGCAGGCCAACTCCCAAGCTGCACACGAGCTGTTTACAGTAGACTGAAGTACACAAAGTCACACATACTCTTCTATACCGGGGACTGGAGTTCTATAGTAGTTTGATGGCTGTGAACACACGTAAAGAGGAGCGCACAGGTGCTCGCTGTTAAGACTTAATGGGGGCATGTTGAAGCATTCTACATCAAAAGTTCCCTAAAAGTACAAAAAAAAAAGAAGCACAAACAGGATTCATCTGTGCAGTGGGGGAGAGGAAGGGTGGAGGAAGCAGTCGGGTCCTTCTTGGATGAAGAGCTGCCTCCTCTTCAAGGTAGTGGGGTCTTTCACAGCGAAAAGCACAGGGATGCGGCCCGTTCCTCGGCCTTCCTTCTTTCGGCGCTTCCAAAACGAAGCGAGCGTTCCGCAAAGGAGGAGGAGGAGGAGGAGGAGCGGGGGTCGATCGATGAGAATGGGGGTCATGGAGGTTGGGGGGGGAGCAGTCTCATTCCGTGGCCTTGAGGGAGAAGGACAGCTTGGGCCTGGACTTGCCCTTGCCCAGGATGATTTTCTGCTCCTCCTTCTGCTGCTTTTGACGGTCCTGCTCCAGCTTCATGCGCTCCTCGTGAATCTTTCTCTGCTCCTCTACAATACGCAACTGCTCCTCAGCCTGGGGGACGGAGAGGAAAACAGGGAGCAGACAATAGGGGTCAGACAAGGTCAGAACGAGACGTCTATAAGACGTGCACCCGCAAACTGCTGGCATTGGGGTTTATTTAATATAAAAGAAGCGCTATAAGGGTTCATAATAAAGAGTGTTACAGGAGCGGGTTTACTAATTGAACTCAAACTAAAGCCTAAATAAAATATAGGGTTTATATAAGATGGGGAACAGTTCTGAATTGCCAAAAAATGTCAGAGTCTTAAAAAAGGAGAGCTCT